ATGCCTTCACTCCAGTATGGCTCCCCTTCATCATATACACAGCCCAACAAGACAACAACACAAACCCCACTGACAGTGTATGATTCAATATGACACATGCACAAACAAATCCCATTGCAGTCAACCAAAGTCAATCAACCACACCCTAGGCCACCCCAACATCTCTCATCACCAAGGAAACATAACAAGTGAATAGAAAGAGAACCTACCTAAGTGATGCTGACACAAAAAACCCATGTATACACTAAGTAAAAGAACATAGGCTTAACCACCCCAGCCCCTCTCTCCCTCCCCCCTTTTCTTCCCAACCCTATACTGCATATATCACCAGTGTCTCACAACAAATGTAACTGATCTGTAGAAAACACAAGCTGAAGAAAGAGACAATGCATGTGCTTTTGTAAACGAGGAAAACCTTTAATTAAAAAAAATCAATTTTTTAAAAAATCCCCTTAGCATCAACAGAGGTGTGTTAGAATAGAGCCTGAACTTTGAGCCAAGCCTTGTTCATGGGGAACAAGTTTGGCAGGGTAGTTAGAATGGCATAAAAACTGTGAGTAGGTTACCCAGTTTACTGGGTGACCTTGGGCCAACAAACCTATCACATCACAGCACTGTGGTGAGGACAAAAATTGGGGTGCACGCCACCTGTTTTGTGCAGATTTCTTTTAAAAGGATGCATGAAAATGTCACACTTAAATTCTATGAATTATTGCATGCATTTCCCAAAAATATGTATTTTGCAACGAGTCTTAACAAATAATTTATATACACTTTAACCACAAAATACATCATTTGTGCACACTTCTATCATACATTGCTTTGCAAAATCTAGAGAAGTATGTAATATGATCAGGAGTTGAATTCTAATCCGCAATAGCCTCTCCTCCTTACAGAGGGGAGGAGTTGTGAGCAGGAGCCGTTTCCCGCATTGGCAGGGGGCATTTCAGCCCCTGCCCAGCTGGCATAGCTGCCGCGCCACGCCCCCAGGTAGCCAACCAACCAGGTGGAGGCTTGGGGGCAGGGTTTAGCCGCTCAAATGCAGCTGCGGCAGCACTTCCCTTCCATTCCGCTGCACGACCCCCGGTGACATCAGGGGGGAGCTTTCAGTTGTATTTGCATCAACAGGCTCCTCCCACTGGTGGTTAACCCTTGTTAGACTCACCCCTCCCTGAGGGGGTGGAGTCATGCTCTGTTGTTTTATCCAGTGCCTAAGCCAATACCTCTCACATGCTGTAATCAATAAAGTTGTGGCCTTTTTTAGCCCATTGACCTAATATACTGTGTCCATGTGTCTTTCCTATCCCCAAGCGGGTGGTGGGTCCTTGAATCACAACAAGTTGAGGGGCATCAAATTGGTTTGGACCACTACAAAAAGCAGATCAAGCCAATTCCTCCTCCATCCCCTGTAGTGATGGATCGGGATCCTGGACTAGAGGGACCATTGGCCTGAACCAGCTGGCCTCTTCTAATGTTCTTATTGCTGTGTTGGAATGGAGGATGCCTTGCTGAGTGCCAGCTCAGAAGTCACACAGAAGAACAGAAGCCAGACTCCTCTAAAGCCACTCCACACCTTCATTTGAATCTGTGTGGAGAGAATGTGTTTGGGTGCCTGTCATTTATTTATTTCCTCCATGCTGGATGATTATATGAATTAAAACCCATGGCAGGCTTTGTACCTGAACACAGCGAGATTCAATGAAGACATATCTGAGAATACAGAGCGGCCTTCCCCCTCCCCACCCCCAGCTCCAAAAGGAACACTCTGGAGAGGAAGCAAAGCCTTAAGAAGGCAGCTGCTGTGGGAGCTGCCAGCAGATGTTCTCCTTTATGGACAATGATGAACCAGTAATTAGAGCAAGGAAGAGTTTGCATCCGACAGCCGAGAAGTTAGTTATACTGACAGCTCTGTAAGGGATAATTCAAGGAAGACGCAAATGACTGCAAGGAATGCAGCCATTCCTGTTAACAGCCTTCACAAAGACCACCTGGGAGAATGGGAGTTTCTCATCTACTAGTCAAACCACAAGAGATCAGCACATGCCTTGCAAACAGGCCAAGCTGGAGTCCCATGTAGTTCTCAAATGTGTATCGAAATATGGATGAGTCTGAGAACCAGGATGGACCAACCAAAGAGGAAGCAAAAATGTCAGAGGAGTAGTCAGAGCAGAAATGGTCCCGGTGGGGTTGGAGAGGAACAGAGATGGAGGAAGCAAGAGGAAGGGTTGGGCAGGGATGGAGTCTGTGGTCCAAAGCCTTAAGAGGGGAGAGTGTGGCCCATTCAAGGGAGGAGACAGTAGGGGGGTAACACAAATGTTTGCAGCAGAAGGTGGAGTTAGGGGCTTTGATTCTGGGGAAAGAACCTCAAGGAAGATCTCATTGTAGGGGGAGAAAGTGGGCCAGTAGCTCAAAGCTTGATGGGGCAGAGAAATCCTGGAGAGCAAGCAAGGTAAGAAAGGGATCAGGCTGAAGTGACCACCGTACCTGCTCCTATGATGAGTAGTAAAGCTTGCCTTTCTGTGAGTGAAAACAGGGGACTTTATGACATGGCATTATCTCACACAAGTCTTGAGGGGACAGGATGTTTCCAACATTCTCCTCTTCCAACTTTCTCCACAGAGTTTGGAGTTCCAAATGGTCCGATCTGGTCAGGAAAGTGGAACTAATGCAGTAGAAATCCTCCATTGTTCTTTTTTTTTACTTTTCAAAATAGGGATACTTGAAAATGGGAACACCCTTGTTCATTTCCTTGTGGGTGCCCTACCAGCACCCTTGAGCCTTTTGCAATTGCCCAAACTGAGTGCATGCAAAAGCCTGACTCTTTCTGATCAAACTAAAGTGATGTTCATGCACCAACTGGACACAACTCCCCGATCCTCTGTGCTTTTCCTCCCTCGTGTTTACTGATTGCACACTGCTACAACACCACAGAAAAACAATATTGCTGCACATGATTCTCTGCAAATTATTTTGTGTGCGATGTTTTACCAACCCACAACCCACCTTTCCTCCAGGGAACAAAAAGTGGGATACATTGTTCTCCCACACAAACATTTTTATTTCCCAAGAACCCAGTGTGGTAGTTAGGCTAAGAAACATCCAGTGAGATTCATGGCTGGATGGAGACTTGAACCTGAGTCTCCCCAACACAACACTCTACCCACTCTACTGCAATGACTCTTGAGGAGGGGTGGGAAAAGCTACAAAGAGAAGAAAATGATGTGCAGCAGCTAGAGATAAGAAGTATTGCTCTATGTAATAAAATAAATACATTTGAAACAACAGCAAAATGAAAGGCTGAAGAAACAACCTCTCTCTCTATTTCTTCAAAAAACTGTATTATGCTGAGTCGGACCCTTGGCCCATCCAGTTCAGTGTTGTCCACATGTTTGCAGACAGTGAGTCTTTCCCAAATCTGCCTGTTGGGGATTGAAACTGGGACCTTCTGTATGCAAAGTGGATGTTCTAGCACTGAGCTGTGGTCCTTCCCTTCATGGCTAATGGCACCATAGACCTACCACCCCCACCTAATGCAACCAAAGTCCTCTCCATGATAGCCCTGCCTATAGACACCCCCCTTTTCTGGCTCCTAAACCTTTATTGTGACATTTCCTCTGTCACATCCCTTGGGAGTCCCTTACTGTTGCTCTTTCTACTATCCAGCCAGCTTCATTATCTCTCTCCTTGGCTTGAGGCCATTACTCTTTGTCCTATGATTTTCAGAGATCATGGGCAATTCCTTACTTTCATTTATATTGTTGCCTTGCAGGTATTTATAGATTGCGATGGTGTTGCCCAGGGCTGTTTCTGGACTATATAAATTTCCCTCTTGCAGCAGTTCTTGAGATGACTTACCCTGTAATCCTAGTGTCATTCCTCCCCTGCCTGCTGCCCCTGCGGCTGTTGCTACTTTCCCCTCTTTCCTCCTTAAACAAAGCAATATTTCAGGTGTGGAACCTGCACGGCTGTGCTCCACACATTGTACAGTTCTCTTAAATGAATCAGAACCCTTATATAAATCAGTTGCAGGGCAAACATTTCCCAATCATTTGTCTCCCCTGTTGCTCCTTTCTGTCTGTTAAAATTACCAAGGGATAGTTCTGTCAGAAGAGCATGAGATTCTTAATCTCAGGGTTGAGGAATTGAGCCCCATGTTGGGTGAAATATCCCTGTACTGTAGGCGGTTGGACTAGATCAGCCATTCTCAACCTGTGGGACCCCAGATGTTGCTGAACTACAACTCCCATCACCCCTAGCTAGCAAGGCCAGAGCTCAGGGATGATGAGAGTTGCAGTCTAACAACATCTGGAGACCCTCAGAGAACCGCTAGACTATCCTATCCTCGTGGTCTCTTTCCAACTCTACAATTCTATGAATTGGGGAGGGGGAGGCACCCACAAGGTTACGCAATGCCTTCATATGGAAAGTGGCTTAAAAGCCACATAGCTAGCAAAGAACACTATTTGAGAAGCCTTGCTGGATATCACATTACAATGTATGTTGCATTTTTCTCCTTCAACTTTTTCTTCTTCTTTTTAATGCAGAGTTCAAGCTGAGGATCAGACTTGGAAGGTCAAATGATGTCCTGGACATGCCCATTACTGACTTTCATGCTGACATATCAGCCTTCAAGGCATAATTTATCTTTTTGCTTCAAAATTTGGGGGGCACTGGAAGGGGAGGGTGAAAAGTTTACCAAAGCTGCTCCCTTAGCTGCCCCCCACTACTTGTTCAAAGGCAATGAAGGGAAGGGCTGAAGTTCAGTGGCAGAATATATGGTCCCAGATTCAGTTCCTGCTGCCTCCTGGTAGGGCTAAGAGAGACCCCTGCCTGAAGCAACACAGTCAGTAAGTATAGACAATGCTCAGCTAGGTGGACCCATGATAGCTTCCAGTGTTCCTAACTTGTGTACAAAACTCACAACTATAACTCACAACACTATGTCCAAGCAAACTGCAGTTCTTCATTAGCACCACTACCAACAACACATCCAAGCTACTTGAGAGGCCATACCTTAGTGGTAGAGTGTTTGCTCTGCATGCAGAAAATCTCATGTTCAATCCCTGGCCTCTCCAGGTAGGGATGGGAGAGACTCCTGCCTGAAATCCTGGAGTGATGCTGCCAGTCATGTGGACTATACTGAGCTAACCAAAACCCTGATTTGGCATTGTGCAGTTTCCTATGTTCCTATGATGGCTAGAGATCTATGGGGCATAGGTAGGGCGGTATGCAAATACTACTACTACTACTACTAGTAGTAGTAGTAGTGATCTAGAGATACCCAGTGACTGGTAGTCTCTTCCACTCTGTTCTGTCCCCCTAGGTATCCTTAAAGCAGCCTTCCCCAACCTGTGCCCTTCCAGATATTGTTGGATTACAACTCTCATCATGGCTGATAGACATAGTAGTCCAAAATATCTGGGATGTACCAGGCTGAGAAAGACTGCCTTAGAGTGATGGCGGATTGCCCTTACTCTGTCATAAAGCCAATCTCCCTCTCTATCATCTATCTATCTATCTATCTATCTATCTATCTATCTATCTGTTGATTGCATTTATATTCCACTTTTTCTCCAAGGAGTTCAAGGTGGCATACATGATTCTCATTTATTCCTCAAACAACAACCCTGAGAGGTAGGTTGGGCTGGGAGGTAAAGACTGGTCCATGATCACCCCTTATTTTCGTAGCCAAGTGGGGGAATTGTTGACCACTTCACTCTCTTTCACAGTTCTCGCCGCAAATCACCAAATGACCATCCCTCACAACTTTACACCCAGAAAATGAGGTAGCGAAACTGGGGAACTGGTATTTAAGCAAGAGATGCAAAATTGCTTCCTGAACGTTTTTTTAAAATCTTATCTTGCTATTTTGAAGTGAATGAGCATTCTCGAGCAAGCAGAATAACAAGCAGACTAGTTAAACCACAGGCCTTTGCTTGGCCAATTAACTCAAGGAAATTCAGTACTGCAAGGCATAATGACAGATACTGGTTTAGGTGGCTTTCTAAAAGGATGAAACAATTTCATACAAGAAATTGAGTGAGTTTATAGTATTCCACAGAACACACTATAAAAAGGTTGGAGGCTAGTTCTGTGGCCTTGGGTGTAGCTGCAGGTAGTTGTGATCCTCTAGCTGCACCTGCACCTGCATGAACCTAGACTGTCAACTGGAATAAGAAGGCATGGACATATTAATTCAGTAAGTAATAATAATAATACAGTGGTGCCCCGCAAGACGAATGCCTCGCAAGACGGAAAACTCGCTAGACGAAAGGGTTTTCCGTTTTTGAGCTGCTTCGCAAGACGAATTTCCCTATGGGCTTGCTTCGCAAGACGAAAACGTCTTGCAAGTTTGTTTCCTTTTTCTTAACACCGTTAATACAGTTGCGACTTGACTTCGAGGAGCAACTCATAGAACGCAGTGTACATAGTAGCCTTTTTTGAGGTTTTTAAAGACTGGTGATTTTTGAAGCTTTTCCAAAACTTCTTTTGCAGCCATTTGGTAAGTTAAGCTTTTAAAACTTTTTTGGGGGGGTTTGGATTTTGGGTTGGGGTGTTTGGAATTCAAGGACTTGGTGTTGGGGAGGGGTTTGCAAGAATCTGGAAGCTTGTGTGTTTTTTTTTCTGCATTTTTATGATTTTCTGTGACCATAGGGCCACTCTGCTGTTTTCTTAAAAAAATTCTGGATTTGAATTTCTGTGTGCTGGGTGGCTGGGGGAACAGTTGGGGAGGGGTTTGCAAGAATCTGGAAGCTTGTGTGCTTTTTTTCCTGAATTTTTATGATTTTCTGTGACCATTGGGCCACTCTGCTGTTTTTTTAAAAAAATTCTGGATTTGAATTTCTGTGTGCTGGGTGGCTGGGGGAACAGTTGGGGAGGGGTTTGCAAGAATCTGGAAGCTTGGTTTTTTTCCTGCATTTTTATGATTTTCTGAGACCATTGGGCAACTCTGCTGTTTTTTTAAAAAAAATTCTGGGTTTGAATTTTGAAATGCTCTTTACAGTATGTGTGACTTTAAAGAGCACTTAATAAACTCTTGTTGTACCAAATTTGGCTTTGTTTGGACTTTTTTTGACCATAGGAACGCATTAATTGATTTTCAATGCATTCCTATGGGAAACCGTGCTTCGCAAGACGAAAAATTCGCTAGACGAAAAAATTTGCGGAACGAATTAATTTTGTCTTGCGAGGCACCACTGTAAATAGTAACACTGGCTCTGGCACAACTGCCTAGACTCAGAGATCATCATCTGAGGCCCTTCTCAAGGTCTGGGCAGTTGTGCCACAACATGATGGGGAAAGGCAAGGCAGTGAGAGAGATGTGTGGGAATGTTGAGGGTGGAAGGAGATGATATATTGTTTATTAATATCTTTCCTAGCTTGTGCTAGCAAGTTTCTTCACTTAGCAGAGTGCATTCCCTTTCTTACGCAGCAGAAAGCTGGTTGCAAACACGTGTGAGTTTCTTAAGACAATAAGCAATTCAATCTGGCTTTTCCAGATTGAGATATGTTCTAATATTCCTGGTAAGACCCCTTTTGAATCCCTCCTAAAAGAATAAAGACACCAAGCCTTATTCATAAGTAACAAAATGTAGTCTTACTCATGATCAGGCAGAGCACAGTGTGATCACTGAAGGCAGGCTTTAGGCTTAAAGTTACAAACATGTGCAAACAGGTTTACCCCATATTGGAGATAACCTGAGGGACTGCTGTGGCAGCCAGCAGTCCAGTCCAGGTGATGCAGGAAGCAGGCAGGACGAACAGGAAGGTCGAAAAGAAAGGGAAGAGGTAGCAGCATGACTTGGCCTTTTACCAGGTCTGGAAAGGTCACGCTCACCTAGTAGTCAACTGCAAGGAAGGATGCTCTAGGCCAGGAGGAACAGGAAGTTTCGACTGGCTGGACCAACATCCCCTGCATGACCACTCTAGCAAAACAGGTAATGTTGTACTTGACTGCTCCCAGTGGATTACATCCCACAAGACGGAATGCCAATCTAGTAGGAAGACCGTATGAGGCAGTTGCTCCAAATCCTGCCACCTCTGAGGGAGGTCTGGATGGTGACAATGAGAGAACAGGGCCTTTTCTGCAGTAGTTGCTTATCTATGGAATTTTCTCCCCAGGAAGGTCCTCCATCGTTTCAGCACCCGGCAAAGACCTTTTTGTTTTCCTGGGCACTTTGGGACAGCACCAGTGCTGAGAAGTTTTTTTTATTTTGACCATGTTTTTAATATGTTTGTATATTTTTATTATTGCATTTTATTATTGCTTTGGGACTTTTTGTTGTTCGATAAGGTTCAATAAACTTGGCCTATCTTGTTGTTCATACATCTTGCTGCACCACCTCTCTAATTATCCATCCATTTTTCTTTCTCTCTACATACACAAGATCGGGACAAGAAGCCGCATTTCAACTGTTTTAGTTCATAGGGATCTCCTCCTGTGGTGTTAAAGGAAGGCCTTGCAGATCAAGGAGCTTTTGTGAAAGTTTCCCTATCAGGAGCTGATCAGCAGGCTGCCTTCCTTAATCAGCTACCTCTCCCTTGCTGTCACACAGTTTGAGGCTTTCTCCCATCTGACATCTGGGAGTTTAGCTTAGCAGAGGAAAAACCCCAAACCATTTCACACCTTTCAGCGCCTGCCTTCTGCGATGGAAATAGGTGTTTTCACAGTCTCAGAGTCTCTCACATTCTCAGGATTGCTTCTTGGGCTCTAATTCATGTGGCCAAAGAGTTGGAGATAAATATATCCTTTCCCTAGTCATAACACCAGAAAAAAATTCAGCTACTGTCTCTCTGCTCAAACTGTCAGATAGACAAGTTTCTCAAGGGCTAGAAAGTAACAGAGTGGGAAGATGTTTTTTTTCCCTAGAAAGGGTGGGGAAAGGAGCACAGAGAGAAAAGCAACAAAGAGATAACTCTATCTGCCCTCCCTCCCATCATGGCAAATTCATGAATGATTGCAGAATTCCACCTTTTGCTGTTGCAGGGTATCAGTTTTGTTGGCACAGAATTTAAATCTCTCCCACACACTTATGTACACTGCAGAGTGTACATAGGCCTGAATATAGAAGTGTAAATCTCAGAATATCTTCTCATTACCCTTTAGCTCCTCCCTTTCAATACACATCACTCACAGTGCTATTTTAAATGCACCCTGCCAATAAATACAGATCTCAAATAAATTTTGATGAAAACGGAAACTAGAGTGGAAATCGCCGGTGTTCGCTTACACATCCCATGTCTCCAACAAAAATCAGTCTAGTGAATGCAATCAGTATTCACTGCTGTTTCTGTTACTGCTGCTGCTGCTAATGTTTTCAGTCCACAAATGATATCTCTGGGCACCCTGTCTGGGATTGGGTCCTTGGCAAATGTCCAGTCATGTTGAACCTTGGCGTTGATCCTGTGGATATCCCAATCAATTTTCTATCAGCAATCATCCCAATTTCTTCAGAGTTTTCTTCTTTTCAGGTATGTCATACTGACCATAAAGTCGCTTGCAGTGCTTTTTCTCTCTCTTCATCCAAATTTCTGATGTGTCACCCTCACTCCTTTCTTTTCTGCTGCTTTTCTTGCCTACATTTCTAACCTTTCTCAGTCCCTATATATTAGTTTATTTGTTTTCCTCCTGTTCTCCCAGGGGCATCAGAAAAGCACCTCCCAACTCCATATTTTCTGCTAATCTAATTGGCATGCATGATGGAGGAAGAAAACACATTTCTACCAGGAAACTGGTCCCTAGTTTCAGGCTTCAAATGAGATTTTATAAGCAATAGTGTGAAAACGGTGATTAAAAATATGGGGGGGGGGGGCTTGGCTTAGCCTTTTTAAAGTATTCAACATTTATACATAGAGGTTGAAAAGGATTCTGATAAAAAGCCTTTCCTCCCAAGGAACAGCATTTTTATGATTTGACGTGTTACTTTCCAGAGAGTGCAAGTTGGAAAACAAACAAGAAAAAAATATGGCTTAGGGCAGAGTGAGGAAACTTGTGGCCTTCCAGAGACTGTCAGACTCCAACACCCATCAGCCTGAACCAGCAAGGTCTAAGACCAAGGATGATGGGAGTTGTAGT